ACAAAAAAAAAAAAACAAAAAAAAGCGATCATGGATTACAAGAAAAGAAAACAAACATTTCGATCATGGATTCAAAAAAATCGATCAAGTATTACAAAAAAATCTATCATGGATACACAAAAAAAAAAAAAAAAAAAAACCGTACGGACTCGCCAATTCACTGTTCGGACTCGCCGATTCCGTACAGTAAATCGGCGAGTCACTGGACGGAATCGTCCGGTTCTCTCTAGAACCGAACGATTTCCGATTTTTCAACCGATCCGGTCCCTTTTCGCGAATTCCGAGTCGAACCGGGCGAGTCCGGTTCGACTCGGCGTTTTTTAAAACGCTGGTTTAGAAACTAAAAAAATGATTTTATTTTCCTTTTGAAAATACCGACACGATGATTATAAATTGAAGTAGTACTTCTAAGTAGGTCTTTTACTCGAGAGAGTGAGTTTATTGCGCATAAATATATTACGTCAAAAAATTAAACCACAACAGCAACTTTGAATTTGTTCATTCAAAACAAATTTGAGCATATTAGAAGGTTTTTTGATTCAAACATTATCAAGGTTTTAAAACTCAATCGAGTCGACTCGAACAGGGGCCGAGTTACTCAAGCTTGGGGTGCATGCTGAGCCGTGCAAGAAAAGAATAGATATTGTACTTTTTTACTAGATTATTGTATAAATATGTTGCATAATTTTGATGTTTTTTTACCAGGATTTTTTAGATCACGTGCTCTAATTTTTCCCCTTCTCTTGATTTTTTCTGGACTATTTTTTACATTAAATCAAAATTTCCCAAATTCTATTTTTATATATTTCTTATCTTTTTTAGACTTTCAATTACAGTTTAGTTTGCTTTTTATTATTTTTTGTTATCAAAATAATTTTTGCAATTTTGTTCATAATTTTTAGCCTTATATGACTCATGCAGTACATCTGAACTCACCTTGAGTTACTCGGCTCAGGCAAGGATTGAATACCAAGCTTTAGCCAAGCACCGATCAGTTTTAAATACTAGTTCAATGGAATTTTTTGTTATCATTTAGATCATAGTCATTGGAATCAGGAGGCATAATCGGATCGGAAACAAGAGATCATAAAACGCTAGAAGATTCGTATAGTTCAAGCGATGTCTGTAAAATACATATGTTAGGGGTTTAAATCTCCACATCTTAGGGATCCGGATCCTAGCCTTTTAAAGATCTCAATCCTGGAATCTCGATCCTAAACTCTCAAGAATCTTGCTCTCAACATTAAAGTATGTATGGTATCCGATTTTTTAAAACATCCAAAATTTTAAAAGAATCTTTTATTTAACACAGACTTCTATGATGGGATATCCGCATGACGTGGGTTGACATGACCAGACTCTCTCTCATCTTGAAGCGGGTTGACAGAGTCAGATCGGACTGATTCACCATGCTCTCTCTCTCCAAATCAGGTGTAACCAAGAATTTGACCTCAACAAGACTCTCTCCAAAACTGGTGTAACGTGAATTTGACCTGAACAAGTTCCATCTCCAAAGCTGGTCTAGTCAGGAATTTGACCTGACCAGTATTACGACTAGACTCTTTCACCATCTCTCTCTCTCCAAAACTGGTCTAACCAGGAATTTGATCTGAACAAGCTCTCTCTCCAGAACTGGTCTAGTCGGGGATTTGACCTGAACAAGATTACGACTAGACTCTTTCACCATCTCTCTCTCTCTTGCTGCAAGTCCAACCCAAATTCCATTCCAAAAAGGGTCTAATATCCCTAGATAGGTAATTGAATAACTTATACTCCAGTCAGTCAAGCTCTCTCTCTCTCTCTCTGAACATGGATCCGTGTCCAGAACCACTTCTTACAAGTTCTAAGCCCAGCTTTGTAAACATAGATACATATATATACTCGAAACGTCGAAATCTAAGCTCACGCATTTAAAAATAAGAAACTTGCAAACATAAAATGAACAGCCTACAAATTACAATACCCATATTAAGCAGTCAAAAAAGAAGTTAACAGAACACCATTTCAAGCAGTAGTGACCACCATTCCAAGTCTCAACAAAGAGACTAATATCACAACTCATTACAGTGACATCCCCACCCATCTTTAAGTGGTGTGCTTTTCTGTTTATTCTTCTTGAACAGTAGAGAGTGAAAAACCCAAACAATTCCTCTCTACTAGTATGGAGCGATAACCAAGACGATAAATGAAAAAATGAACCATAAAATGCAAACTGTTCATCAATACAACGGCTTGTACACGTCTCGCATACTTGGAAGACCATCATGTGTCTGCATGGTTTGAGTGCACCAACGAGAGAGACTGGGCAAAGGTTCAAGACGTGACTGATTTAAAATTTCGTTACCACCCAATAATTTTTGGCTAGTTGGATGATGAGGGGAGAGCAAAACGTTTAGGTGGGTGGATCCAAATTGTCTTAAAGGGCTCGTGGAGGGAGAAACAGGCAAGGACATGTTCCTTCTCGATATGAAGTGGTCTCTGCAGAAAATATCAGAATAAGCCTTTTCTTGCATAGAAAGAAAAACTCAATAAGAATGGCAGAGTCATGAGTAGATTCACATTGAAGAACGAGAATTAACGTGCACACATATATATTTCAAACTCTGCAATGGCCGGCTCCAACCCATTCATGCCGGTCCTAAGCCCGGATAAAAGAAGAGGGTTGTGTTAGGTAGGGCAGCTAGTATAGAACTTTGTCAAATCTTTTCATGAATTAGCCGATCCCAAATAGTTGGGATAAAGCTAGGATGATGATGATGATGATGATGATGATATATATATATATATATATATATATATA